GTGGTATGCAAGCCCTTCCAGGATTTAGATGTTTACTGGGTAGTTGGTTCAAGCCAAGGTCAGGTAGCAGGTGAGAATCAGAGCAGACGTAGTCAGATGAGATAGCCGAGGTCATACACAGAGGAGCGAGAGAGAGAGAGAGTATCTGTAAGCCTGGCCTAGGTCAGATCAGGGGTAAATCAGAGTAGACAGGTCCAGGAGCAAGCCGAGTCGGTAACAGGAAATCATGGGTCAAAGTCACAGGAAACAGGAAAAGGGCATGGGGAGCTAGAGATCATCCAGCAACTTGAGGAAGTAACGGGCGGACTGACAAATCATGGGGCCCCCGGGCAATAGGGGATCATGGGACCCCTGTGTCCATGCCCAAACTCAAAAAAGCCTATGAAAAAGGTACCAGGAGCATCTCATGGGGCCCCCTACTGACCCCGGGCCCTCGGACAGTGCCCGAGTTTCCAGATGGTTAGTCCGCCCCTGGGAAGTAATGAGCCTCCTTATAAAGGCCAGACTGAGGCTGATGTGTCCTTCTGCGGCCATGCAGAGAACTGGCAGAAATGCCAGATCTTCCAGAACCTCTGCCATGGACAGGACCCTGACAGACAGAGTGAGCAGCCTGTGTCTTTAATGGAACTCCAGCCAATCCTTTGGAAGGTGTGCACAGCAGGTGGTTAGAGAGTTCATAAATAGTCCGATGCCTGAGCAGCAGTGCATATTTTCTGGGTCTAGTCCTCCTGGAAGGGACCCCTGGTGCAGGGGCTCTGTCCTGAGGCAGAATACTAGAAGGAGCCATCAGGAAGCCACCGAGGTCCCAGCTGAACTTAGCTGGGGGGGGCCTATTCACAAGCTGAAGTCCTGGAGTCAAGATGGATCAGAAGAAGCTCACTGGAGAGAGCCAGGAGGAAGTTGGTGAGGAAGGGAAGGGGGGTGATAAGATTAGGAATAGGGTATGACGAGGTTGGCCAGGACCCTGGCCAAAAGGAGCAACATCTTTCTTCTCTTTTCTTTCAATTTTTTTCCCCTTACATCTTTCTCAGCCAGGACCCCTCTATTGGAGACCATTGGCTCTATTCCAAATGTTCTGATTCATTTAGTAGACATTGGAAACCAGTTAATCTGAGATAGGACCTTGAACTGACTGTGACAGGAAGGATTGATCATCACCTTACTCTGGATGCCTGTGCAATAGATGGGATTGCATGGGGTGGGAACCCTGCCATGTGCTTGGCAATAAGATCAGTTGAATTTCTCGTACATTTAGCAAATAATGTTCATGTTTCACGACCCACTGTTAAACAAGGCTCTTCATCTAATTACTGAACCGAACATATACAGGTGAAACTCGAAAAATGAGAATATGGTGCAAAAGATCATTTATTTCAGTGCAGCAACTTAAAAGGTGAAACTAATTTATGAGACTCATTACATGCAAAGCAAGATAGTTCAAGCCGTGATTTGTCATCATTGTGATGATTATGGCTTACAGCTCATGAAAACCCCAAATCCACAATCTCAGAAAATGAGAATATTCCATGCAATCAATCAAAAAACACGGATTGTACATAGAACAATATCGCACCTCTGAAAAGTAGAAGCTGCATATGTACTCAGTACTTGGTTTGGGCCCCTTTTGCAGCAATTACTGCCTCAATGCGGCGTGGCATGGAAGCTATCAGCCTGTAGCACTGCTGAGGTGTTATGGAAGACCAGGATGCTTCAATAGCGGCCTTCAGCTCTTCTGCATTGTTCGGTCTCATGTCTCTCATCTTTCTCTTGGCAATGCCCCATAGATTTTCTATGGGGTTCAGGTCAGGCGAGTTTGCTGGCCAATCAAGCACAGTAATCCCACGGTCATTGAACCAGGTTTTGGTGCTTTTGGCAGTGTGGGCGGAGCCAAGTCCTGCTGGAAAATGAAGTCAGCATCCCCATAAAGCTTGTCTGTGGAAGGAAGCATGAAGTGCTCCAAAATCTCCTGGTAGATGGCTGCGTTGACCCTGGACTTAATGAAGCACAGTGGACCAACACCAGCAGATGACATGGCTCCCCAAATCAACACAGACTGTGGAAACTTCACACTGGACTTCAAGCATCTTGCAGTGTGTGCCTCTCCATTCTTCCTCCATACTCGGGGGTCCTTGTGCCTCTCCATTCTTCCTCCATACTCGGGGTCCTTGTGCCTCTCCATTCTTCCTCCATACTCTGGGTCCTTGTGCCTCTCCATTCTTCCTCCATACTCGGGGTCCTTGTGCCTCTCCATTCTTCCTCCATACTCGGGGTCCTTGGGCCTCTCCATTCTTCCTCCATACTCGGGGTCCTTGGGCCTCTCCAATCTTCCTCCATACTCGGGGTCCTTGGGCCTCTCCATTCTTCCTCCATGCTTGGGGTCCTTGGGCCTCTCCATTCTTCCTCCATACTCGGGGTCCTTGTGCCTCTTCATTCTTCCTCCATGCTCGGGGTCCTTGGGCCTCTCCATTCTTCCTCCATGCTCGGGGTCCTTGTGCCTCTCCATTCTTCCTCCATACTCGGGGTCCTTGGGCCTCTCCATTCTTCCTCCATACTCGGGGTCCTTGGGCCTCTCCATTCTTCCTCCATACTCGGGGTCCTTGTGCCTCTCCATTCTTCCTCCATACTCGGGGTCCTTGTACCTCTCCATTCTTCCTCCATACTCGGTGTTCTTGTGCCTCTCCATTCTTCCTCCATACTCGAGTCCTTGGGTCTTTCCATTCTTCCTCCATACTCGGGGTCCTTGGGCCTCTCCATTCTTCCTCCATACTCGGGTCCTTGGGCCTCTCCATTCTTCCTCCATACTCGGGGTCCTTGTTCCTCTCCATTCTTCCTCCATACTCGGGGTCCTTGGGCCTCTCCATTCTTCCTCCATACTCGGGGTTCTTGGGCCTCTCCATTCTTCCTCCATACTCGAGTCCTTGGGTCTTTCCATTCTTCCTCCATACTCGGGGTCCTTGGGCCTCTCCATTCTTCCTCCATACTCGGGTCCTTGGGCCTCTCCATTCTTCCTCCATACTCGGGGTCCTTGTTCCTCTCCATTCTTCCTCCATACTCGGGGTCCTTGGGCCTCTCCATTCTTCCTCCATACTCGGGGTCCTTGTTCCTCTCCATTCTTCCTCCATACTCGGGGTCCTTGTGCCTCTCCATTCTTCCTTCATACTCGGGGTCCTTGGGCCTCTCCATTCTTCCTCCATACTCGGGGTCCTTGGGCCTCTCCATTTTCCCTCCATACTCGGGGTCCTTGGTTTCCAAATGAGATGCAAAAGTTGCTCTCGTCAGAAAAGAGGACTTTGGACCACTGAGCAACAGACCAGGTCTGTCTTTCTTTAGCCCAGGTAAGAGGCTTCTGACGTTGTTTGTTGTTCAGGAGTGGCTTGACAAGAGGAATACGACATTTGAAGCCCATGTCCAGGATCCGTCTGTGTGTGGTGGCTCTTGATGCACTGACTCCAGCCTCAGTCCACTCCTTGTGAAAGTCCCCAACACTTTTGAATGGCCTTTTCCTGACCATCCTCTCCAGGCTGCGGTCATCCCTGCTGCTTGTGCACCTTTTTCTTCCACACCTTTCCCTTCCACATAACTTTCTATTAATGTGCTTTGATACAGCACTTTGGGAACATCCAACTTCTTCTGCAATGACCTTTTGAGGCTTTCCCTCCTTATGGAGGGTGTCAATGATGGTTTTCTGCACAACTGTCAGGTCAGCAGTCTTTCCCATGATTGTGATTCCTACTGAACCAGACTGGGAGACCATTTAAAGGCTCAGGAACCCTTTGCAGGTGTTATGGCTGAATGAGCTGATTAGAGTGGGACACTTTGAGCCGAGAATATTCCACCTTTTCACAATATTCTCATTTTCTGAGATTGTGGATTTGGGGTTTTCATGAGCTGTAAGCCATAATCATCACAATGATGACAAATCACGGCTTGAACTATCTTGCTTTGCATGTAATGAGTCTCATATATTAGTTTCACCTTTTAAGTTGCTGCACTGAAATAAATGAACTTTTGCACCATATTCTCATTTTTCGAGTTTCACCTGTACAGCGCTCAGCATAAATGACTCCACCCCTTCTGAAAAGTAAGATTTGAATCAATATCTCAATGAACACAAGAACAATTTCCAAAAATTTGACAAAACATGTGATCTCCAGCGTGGGACTTCCATGTTAAATGACACGTTGTGCGCCCGCTGCCTTCATCTGCTCTGCCGCTCTACCCACCAGATGTGCGCTCAATCGTTTGTAGCGAGCCCCCACCGCGCTCGCCGGTCACTTCAGTAGCAGACTTTGCTGTGGAGGGGGCCATTAAGTCACAGAGGAGGTATCCACTGTGCATGTCTGAAGAAAGAAGCTGCCGGCGGTGAGAATTCACAGACTTATCACTTCTGAAATAAAATCCGGGCATTCTATCCGGAGACCCCACCATGAGTGAGGAACAATGTATCATCAGCATCCACTTCTATTGTGCTTCATATGGGATGGAAAAATACTTTGAATTTTGATTTACCAGTTCAGCTCTCAGGCCTGTACACCCCTACGGAGCCGAGCGATCGTATCGTGTATTCAACTACAGATTTGTCATTAGTTGAAGTGTTCCTAAACCCCAGACCCCGCATTCACTATACCCGCTCTCCCCGGACCCTGCATTCACTATATCTGGTCTCCCCGGACCCCGCATTCACTATATCCGCTCTCCCCGGACCCCGCATTCACTATATCTGGTCTCCCCGGACCCTGCATTCACTATATCCGCTCTCCCCCGGACCCCGCATTCACTATATCCGGTCTCCCCGGACCCCGCATTCACTATATCCGCTCTCCCCGGACCCCGCATTCACTATATCCACTCTCCCCGGACCCTGCATTCACTATATCTGGTCTCCCCGGACCCCGCATTCACTATATCCGCTCTCCCCGGACCCCGCATTCACTATATCTGGTCTCCCCGGACCCCGCATTCACTATATCCGCTCTCCCCGGACCCTGCATTCACTATATCCACTCTCCCCGGACCCTGCATTCACTATATCTGGTCTCCCCGGACCCCGCATTCACTATATCCGCTCTCCCCGGACCCTGCATTCTTCACTATATCCGCTCTCCCCGGACCCTGCATTCACTATATCTGCTCTCCCCGGACCCCGCATTCACTATATCCGCTCTCCCCGGACCCCGCATTCACTATATCCGCTCTCTCTGGACCCCGCATTCACTGTATCCGCTCTCTCTTGACCCCGCATTCACTATATCCGCTCTCTCCGGACCCTGCATTCACTGTATCTGCTCTCCCCGGACCCTGCATTCACTATATCTGGTCTCCCTGGACCCTGCATTCACTATATCTGCTCTCCCCGGACCCTGCATTCACTATATCCGCTCTCCCCGGACCCTGCATTCACTATATCCACTCTCTCTTGACCCCGCATTCACTATATCTGGTCTCCCCGGACCCTGCATTCACTATATCCGCTCTCCCCGGACCCTGCATTCACTATATCCACTCTCCCCGGACCCCGCATTCACTATATCTGGTCTCCCTGGACCCTGCATTCACTATATCCGCTCTCCCCGGACCCCGCATTCACTATATCCGCTCTCCCAGGACCCCGCATTCACTATATCCGCTCTCCCCGGACCCTGCATTCACTATATCCGCTCTCCCCGGACCCTGCATTCACTATATCCACTCTCTCTTGACCCCGCATTCACTATATCTGGTCTCCCCGGACCCTGCATTCACTATATCCGCTCTCCCTTGATCCCGCATTCACTATATCCGGTCTCCCTGGACCCTGCATTCACTATATCCGCTCTCCCCGGACCCTGCATTCATTATATCCGCTCTCTCCGGACCCTGCATTCACTATATCCCCTCTCCCCGGACCCTGCATTCACTATATCCGCTCTCCCTGGACCCTGCATTCACTATCTCCGCTCTCCCCGGACCCTGCATTCACTATATCCGCTCTCTCGGGACCCTGCATTCACTATATCCCCTCTCCCCGGACCCTGCATTCACTATATCCCCTCTCCCCGGACCCCGCATTCTCTATACCTGCTCTCCCCGGACCCCGCATTCACTATATCCGCTCTCCCCGGACCCTGCATTCACTATATCCGCTCTCCCAGGACCCCGCATTCACTATATCCGCTCTCCCAGGACCCTGCATTCACTATATCCGGTCTCCCCGGACCCTGCATTCACTATATCCGCTCTCCCAGGACCCCGCATTCACTATATCCGCTCTCCCAGGACCCCGCATTCACTATATCCGCTCTCCCAGGACCCCGCATTCACTATATCCGCTCTCCCAGGACCCCGCATTCACTATATCCGCTCTCCCCGGACCCCGCATTCACTATCTCCGCTCTCCCCGGACCCTGCATTCACTATATCCGCTCTCTCGGGACCCTGCATTCACTATCTCCGCTCTCCCCGGACCCTGCATTCACTATATCCGCTCTCTCGGGACCCCGCATTCACTATATCCGCTCTCCCCGGACCCTGCATTCACTATATCCGCTCTCCCAGGACCCCGCATTCACTATATCCGCTCTCCCAGGACCCCGCATTCACTATATCCGCTCTCCCAGGACCCCGCATTCACTATATCCGCTCTCCCCAGACCCCGCATTCACTATATCTGGTCTCCCACAATACACAGAACAGTAAATATAAACTACTAAATCCCTTTTTTCATCCGCAGTATATAGCAGTCTTGTGAAGTCTATCAGTGTCCAGCAGCGCACTGGTTAAAACTTTGCAGGAGGAGCTTTCTTTCTGCTCTAAGCGGATGCAGAATCCCCAACCCTCATTGCTGATTGGCCCTGTGCTGATCACATGCACTCTCTCAAGAACACAAAAAAAAAAACTCTCTAGCAATACACACTAAACTGAGCATGTGCAGAGTGTTTCCACAGGATATGTCTTATCAGTAGATAAGAGGGGGACACTGGAAGAAGGGGAGGATCAGAGAAGACAGGATCAAACAACCTTTTTTACACAATGCAGAGGATTAACCCCTTAGATCCCACAGTGAGTATAACAAGCATGCTTCCCTGCATCTACAGACGGATTGTACTGTTGTGGGTTCAGGAACACTTACATTGCCCTTTCTCTATGTGTATGCGGACGGCGGCACTGTAATTATTTGAACCACTTGCCCGTCACGCTATAGCTGACCGATGGCTACAGCGCAGATCTCCAGTATAGGAGGATGTCCATGGATGTCCTCCCACCTGCGCGCCTCCTGAGCGCCCCCTTGGGCATGCATTGGGCGCGCTCCGTGACCACCATATCTGTTGGACACCACTGGTCACAGATCATGTGATCAGCTACATCCAATCACATCTGGTCACATGTAAACAGACACACTGCATCTGTGGGAGGAAAGGAGAGATGAAAATTGTCAAGTCTGACAGTACATTGTTTACACTGATCATCAGTGCCAATCAGTGCAACTTATCAGTGTCCATCAGTGTGGCCTTTGTCTCTCTCTATCTCCCGTCTGATCGATGTTTATAAACAATGTTACTTTGTATCTTTCTATCTCCCGTCTGATCGATGTTTATAAACAATGTTACTTTGTGTATATCTCTATCTCCCATCTGATCGATGTTTATAAACAATGTTACTTTGTATATCTCTATCTCCCGTCTGATCGATGTTTTATAAACAATGTTACTTTGTCTCTCTCTATTTCCCGTCTGATCGATCTTTATAAACAATGTTACTTTGTGTCTCCCGTCTGATCGATGTTTATAAACAATGTTACTTTGTGTCTCCCGTCTGATCGATGTTTATAAACAATGTTACTTTGTATCTCTCTATCTCCCGTCTGATGGTTATAAACAATGTTACTTTGTATCTCTCTATCTCCCGTCTGATCGATGTTTATAAACAATGTTACTTTGTATCTCTCTATCTCCCGTCTGATGGTTATAAACAATGTTACTTTGTATCTCTCTATCTCCCATCTGATTGATGTTTAAAAACAATGTTACTTTGTATCTCCCGTCTGATCGATGTTTATAAACAATGTTACTATGTATCTGTCTATCTCCTGTCTGATCGATGTTTATAAACAATGTTACTTTGTATCTCCCGTCTGATCGATGTTTATAAACAATGTTACTTTGTATCGCTCTATTTCCCGTCTGATCGATGTTTATAAACAATGTTACTTTGTATCTCTCTATCTCCCGTCTGATCGATGTTTATAAACAATGTTACTTTGTATCTCTCTATCTCCCATCTGATCAATGTTTATAAACAATGTTACTTTGTATCTCTCTATCTCCTGTCTGATCGATGTTTATAAACAATGTTACTTTGTATCTCTCCATCTCCCGTCTGATCGATGTTTATAAACAATGTTACTTTGTATCTCTCTATCTCCCATCTGATCGATGTTTATAAACAATGTTACTTTGTATCTCCCGTCTGATCGTTGTTTATAAACAATGTTACTTTGTGTCTCCCGTCTGATCGATGTTTATAAACAATGTTACTTTGTATCTCTCTATCTCCCGTCTGATCGATGTTTATAAACAATGTTACTTTGTATCTCTCTATCTCCCGTCTGATTGATGTTTATAAACAATGTTACTTTGTATCTCTCCATCTCCCATCTGATCGATGTTTATAAACAATGTTACTTTGTATCTCTCTATCTCCTGTCTGATCGATGTTTATAAACAATGTTACTTTGTGTCTCCCGTCTGATCGATGTTTATAAACAATGTTACTTTGTGTCTCCCGTCTGATCGATGTTTATAAACAATGTTACTTTGTGTCTCCCATCTGATCGATGTTTATAAACAATGTTACTTTGTATCTCTCTATCTCCCGTCTGATAGATGTTTATAAACAATGTTACTTTGTGTCTCTCCATCTCCTGTCTGAACGATGTTTATAAACAATGTTACTTTGTATCTCTCTATCTCCCGTCTGATAGATGTTTATAAACAATGTTACTTTGTATCTCTCTATCTCCTGTCTGATCGATGTTTATAAACAATGTTACTTTGTATCTCTCTATCTCCCGTCTGATAGATGTTTATAAACAATGTTACTTTGTATCTCTCTATCTCCCGTCTGATCGATGTTTATAAACAATGTTACTTTGTATCTCTCTATCTCCTGTCTGATCGATGTTTATAAACAATGTTACTTTGTATCTCTCCATCTCCCGTCTGATCGATGTTTATAAACAATGTTACTTTGTATCTCTCTATCTCCCGTCTGATCGATGTTTATAAACAATGTTACTTTGTATCTCTCCATCTCCCGTTTGAACGATGTTTATAAACAATGTTACTTTGTATCTCTCCATCTCCCGTCTGATAGATGTTTATAAACAATGTTACTTTGTGTCTCTCTATCTCCCGTCTGATCGATGTTTATAAACAATATTACTTTGTATCTCTCTATCTCCCGTCTGATCGATGTTTATAAACAATGTTACTTTGTATCTCCCGTCTGATCGATGTTTATAAACAATGTTACTTTGTATCGCTCTATTTCCCGTCTGATCGATGTTTATAAACAATGTTACTTTGTATCGCTCTATTTCCCGTCTGATCGATGTTTATAAACAATGTTACTTTGTAAACTATCACATCCCCAGTGACACAGAATGGGATGACGTCATCGGGGGCCCTACTTGTAACAATTCGATATGAATCCAATGATTCAAAAACGATAAAGTAGAATGATGTGACGATCGCCCTCAGAATGGCGCTTCCAATCCCCCTTTAAGGGTCGTCCTCTCGTTTCTTCGATCGTCTTAGTAAAATTGCTTATTGGACGGACGGCATTTGACTTAAGTGTCCTACCGAGAAAGCCGTAAACATGACGCACGGCGGTGATTAACGAGGGCCCGTAGTGCTGATCAGGGCCCGTATATTACCCCCCCACAGTTAATGGTTGGGGGGGGAGATATATGGGGCTGTGCTGTACAAGTGACCTTTCCATTGACTGTGCGGCTCCATACATCTCCGGGATCTCCGTATATCTCCGGGCGCTCAATACCGATGACTGCGCTAATTGGATGAAGAAATTCCCTCCGCTCCCGACACCGAGATCCATCCATCCATCCATCCCTCAGCCGGTGTAATTACACACAGGAGTCCTGAGTGCTGCATGAAGATCCCGCCATTGCCAGGACGGCTGTCTTCTCTGGTGCCCATAGGGGGGTCTGTGTGTGCGGGGGGGTCCCTCTGTATCTGGGGGGGTCTCTGTATGTGTGGGGGTCCCTCTGTATGTGGGGGGCGGTCCCTCTGTATGTGTGGGGGTCCCTCTGTATGTGGGGGGTCCCTCTGTATGTGGGAGGTCCCTCTGCATGTAGGGGGGTCTCTGTATGTGGGGGGGTCCCTCTGTATGTGGGGGGGTCCCTCTGCATGTAGGGGGGTCTCTGTATGTGGGGGGGTC